TATCGTACGATCATTCGTAAATATCTACAATTTCCCGTAAATCTTACGACTAGCTAGAAGCTGTCAATAAAATTACGGTTTCGAATTTTCTACCAACATTCTCAGTGTTACTATTAGGGGGACCGGAAAGTAATGTCGCTTTCTTAAGTTAAATTCACACGACTACATTTTTAACAGGTTTTTATTTCTAATCAACAATATATTCACCTTCGTTATCAGAACCTTTTGCCATCTAGTATACAAATTTTCAATGCCGGATCGGTAAAAATCAATCAAATCAAATATCGACATGCGCAGAAACGACATTACTTTCCGGTCCCCCTAATATTATACACAATAAATCGAAACGTAAATATATTATATACTGAACGTTTAATTGAAGAAAACTCAATGACCTACTTTTTAGAAACAACATGAGTACATATGTTGCGCTTCAAATGAAATATTGAGAAAGCCATGAGAAAAGCACAAATTGCGCTGAATGATCCGTGTTTAGGCTCAAATTCTTACGATTGCTTCGTAATCTACAACCGATTTTACGATCAATTCATACGTTCGATTAGAATTGCAGCGTAAGTGATCGTGCGAAATTACCGACAAAAAATTTGAGAATCAACGACGGCGGTAGCGCATGTTTGTACTGACTTTGCGTCTGCGATAAAAATCGCAGTCGTTGCATCGCACAAATTATAGTTACGACAATAACCGGCAACTTCCGTGTTATCACGGAAGCCGCGCGGTCGAGTAAGCAGAAGTCGCAACGAACAAACAAAAATCGAAGCAAAGTCATTCGGGAGAAGGACGCGTACATTTAAGGAGAAATAGAAGAAAGAAAACGATACGGGGAAGAGGGGGGAGAGAAGGGGGAAGCTCGCCCGCGGAAATTCTCCCGCTTAATAATGCGTCCCCGGTGCGCTGATGAGCGCGCGGGCGGATTATACCTCGCGGAGCGGCCGTGTAGTATCGCGTCGTCAATAAAATATCGAGTATCGATCGGAAAGCGATTCTAAGGCGCAGTTCAAATTTGCCTCAAGAGTTTTCCAAACAGGGCGCGTTACGCGCGGCCGGAACGCACGTCGAGTTTTGCATAATATATCGATGGGCTATCGTATGCAGCTGTAACAATTCGAGTGCTACAGAATGCCATAATGGCTCGATTTACATTAATGGTCGAACGGCAGGCTCATCGTATGTATCTCCGATCGATTCTTCCCGATCGAACAACGCCGGTGCAGTCGCGTCGTTATCGGCGACAGAGAAAAATGGCTCGCTGAGCGATTTTAATTTCTTTCCTCTCGCTGAACAATTCAGTTGTTGTACCCGTCGGCGCTTTCGCGCAAGACCGACCGCAATGACGAAACGTTCGCGAAAATCGATCGCGGTTTTGTTCGTCGATCTCGGTCGCTGCCATCGACATCGTTGCCCGTCACTTCGTAAACTTCCGGTTAGCAAATATCTCTGCGGTATATTGAATACGAATACGTAAAAAAAGAAATATATTATCACGTCTGCGAAATATATTTCGACAAAAGGTACGTCAACAATCGAAACGCGAAGTCGATGGACGGGATCTACATTTTTCTCCGAAACCCGCGACATAGTTGTGAATTTATTGACGTATAAATTTATCGGCCCGGTCATCCTTCATAATTTTACGATTCTTCCTTTCTTTTTTTTTTTTCTTTTAACTGATATGTTTACAACTTCGACCGAGACACAGAACAAATTCATGTGTCGGCATCGAAGCGTGGAGTTAGGATGAAAAAGAGGAATACTTATACAGCAGGAGAGAGAGTTATTGTAAACACGAGTTTATAATTTATTATCAATATACTTCATATGGTGACTGGCACAGTTAGTTATACTCTCGTAGCAGACGCGCAATCATACGCACGCACACACGACACACACACACACAGACGCGCGCGCGACACACATGCGCATTTATACACATATATATTATACGATACATGTACACAACATATAATATAATAATAATATAATAACAGACTCTCTCACATCGGTTTCTTTCCAATATACACACACACACACACACACACACACACACACACACACACACAATGTGTATATATAAGTATATATAATATATTTGTATATATTTGTATATAACTATCTTCAGGGGGCGGAGTAAAGGGGGAATTCTCGTTTTGTTCATTTTATCCAAATATATATACTTTTCGTAGCTGTCTACGAATAAGACAAGAACGCGGTATGTGTGTGTGTTTAGATGTGCGCGTGTGTGGGTAGTGTGTGCTGTGGCAAAATCGCACTCCTCGCACTTAATATCACTCGTTATCTCGCGCTACGTATAGTTCATTGTTTCGCGTGTGCGTTCATTCTATGATTTCTCATTTGCAAAGATTCAGGTAGTGAAGCGTCCACGCGTGCGATACGACGCGGACGACGATAGTAGACAATAACGGTAGTTAGTGGTAGTAATAATAGTATTAAATATCGGACGAACGCGAGAGAGTGATGCCTTAAGAAAACAATGCATCTTCGGTTATATTATCGACGGAAAGTCAACCGTTCCTCTTCGCGGTTGGCCTTTCGAGATAATGACTCTCACAACCTTCTTCTGCTAAAACCCTCTCGTACTCGATATCACAATGCTTCGGTACACACACACACACACACACATATATATATGTAAACTATTTCATATATAGGTAATTTTTCTCTTTAATTCCTATTATAGAAAGCGTGTTGTGTCACCGTGAACGCTATCGATTTTTCGCTCTGATACTAATTCACCCTTCGCTGCTGCTCTCGTGCGCGACACGAAGGTTCGTATTAAGGGGATGCTGGAGTGATCGGTGATTATCGACATTATAGGTCCCACCATTCTCCGAAATAACTTTACAAAATTTAAAACCCTTTTACATGCGTAAAATATTCACACTTACAAAGTGCGAAATGATAAAGGGAGGACTGAAAATGAAAAAAAATGTCAAAGATGTACGTAGTGCTGCACTGTAAGATGCGTACAGCTATCAAATCATGAAAACGTTCGTTTAATATAAAAGTAATACAGTTCGTATGTACGAAAGGACTGTATGACCCGTATTTTGGACTAATCTAAATATCAACAACAAAACTAAGACCGAAAGCTTAATAAGAAAATGTAATGGTCGAACGGGTTTATGCATCCGCACGCACGCAGTATAGATGCATGACATTAAGTAGGGCAATAGAAGTGTATAATTCTCTCTCTTTCTCTCTCTTGTACCAATCATTCCTTCCATCGCACTTTCCCATATAATTCTATATCCTCTTGCATGCTCATTTAAAGATATCTGTTCCAATATCACATTAAAAATGTCAAGGATTTGCCGATATTTTTAGTCTAGTTTTAGCTCTGATGAGGACGCTCTCACGTCGAAGTTCGGCCGTCGCCCCAGCATCCCCTTAATAATCATCACTTGAAAACTTGTCTCTCGCGAGAGACACTCGGATATGAATTTATAATTAGATCCGGCTTTCCCAGTCGAATATTTTCGATACAGTCGATCCCGCGCTAAAAGCAATCCGTACATAATGCGAAACTCAAACCTGAGTATATCATCTGAGACAAATTTCAGGTAACGATTAATAACTATTATTAATGCACGGGTCTGACGCTCGCTATCGAGCGTGTATGCGCGACATATAGACTTACCGCGGTGGTTTCGTTACATTTTCAACACCTTCCGTCGTGAGCTTCGCGTGGTGACGTTTCGATCGGCCCCGTCTAAGCCCAGTGCAGGATCTTCGAATTCCTCGCCTCAAGTTGGAATCCTCCGCGTCGGACAGGCGATATGTACATGTGGAAAATACGCGCGCCACAGCGCGCTGTTTACAAAGAGTGACAAATATAGATCGTGACAAGCGTATGCATCCTCCCTTCCGTCGTTAGACCACTCTCTGGTAAAAAGATTCTGCCATTACAGCATTAGCTTCTTCCGATCGATCGCCACTCGACGCACTCCGCTGTGACAGCTCGCCAAGCTTTCCGGATTTCGTAAAAATATGCAATCGTGGCGGCTGCTAACGCCTCGAAGCACGTACGTACACGCAACGCAAAGTCCTTTTCTTACGAAGAGTCGAGAAATGAAATAATCCCCCTCGAAACAGGTAATAATCTCCCGAAACAATGCGTCACCTCGTAGCTGCCGCCACGTAATTGTCGTTCGGTTATCAATGAAGTAACAGTCGGTAGGAAGCTTCTTAATATTTTTACTCGCGCGATCTACGAAGCGAATATATACGCCCTCTTTTTTTTCTCACTCCCTCTCTCTTATTCTCACTAGTTTATTTTCATCGTCGATCGCGCGATTATGCGCCACACCCACACACAGAGACGCGCTCACGCACTCGACTCACGTCTCTATTGTTACAAATATGTGTACGGCGTTCTCCAAATTTCCATTTTTGGCATCGCTCGCGCACCCGTAAGTGGACCTCATCCGCCCACGCGCGGACACAATACCGTACAATGTTTTGCGCAGCCGAATTTAAATCGAGTACACGCATACACACACACACTCTTTCTCGTTCTCCCCCCTCGGCCCCTCCCACTCTCTTATTCTCTCTCATGGACGGCGATATAAAACGCAGCTTTATTACGGATCATGCGACACGCGAGTGTACGAGGAACGCTAAGTCATGAAGTATCTAAAATTTCGAACGAGGTAAACACGCGCAACTTACAGCGGCTTCGTCCTCGTAAACATCATCCGCCACCGTCCGATACACTGATTAAACATCTTCTCGTTTTACTCCGGCTTTTACTCGGACAACCATTCCCGTTTACGAGGATAATGACGGGCTATCCTCGTGGTTGTACAGCGAAACTGAGTTCCTCGCGGGCGGGCGGGCGTGGTTTATGTATATCATAAAATATACAATTTTTCGCGCACGACGGCGGTATACTACGACGTGAGCGATGTAAAAGTTCGAGGGTTAAAAGTTCCGTGCTCTCTGTTTCTCTTTCCTTTTTCTTTTTTTTTTTTTTACTTTAGCTTTATGAAGAGAGATGAGCGGCGTTAGATGCGGTAAGATGCTTCCGATGATGTAAAGAACCAGTGACTGATTGAAACCGAACGAGGAAAGACGTTCGAGAGAGCTATTGTCGTAGTTTCCTTTATTTCTCTTATTCATCTTTTTCTTTCTCTTTTTTTCTTACAAAGAGCGATCACGGGTATGTAATAAACAATGTCGCGGCACGCGAAAATTCGCGAAGGATTAATTAACGCAACTTAACGTCTCTGGTTAACGTAGACTAATGTATTTATCGTGTTTATCCGAGAGAGCATTAAAACGTGTAATTTCCTCCGATTTATTTTGCGCTAATGGGAAGAACAAAATAATATTTACCAATTATGTATCTCAGTAGTGGTGTCTCCCTCATTGATTCACGCGTGTGTGTGTGTTTTAATTTAATATAGTTATTATTTTGTATTCAAGGCAAGTAGAGTTTATCTCTCTCGATATTAGAATGTCGCGCGTTCACACTTTATGTATATTACACACATATACCCTTATATTTATTATTATCTTCATATACATATATATTTTTTTTCTCTCCCGAGTGCAACGCAGAGAAAGACAGCAGCGCGCACATTGAGCGTGCATTTGGACTTTCGCGTTTCGACCGGTCGACTGAATTTTACACGAGGTATTAGCTCCGCGTATAATAACGTTCCCTTTATGCATTTAACATGAATGCATTAACTTTTATCGCCGTACGTTACGCAAGGCATTATGGGTCAGTGCTTATATATTCATCATTGAGTAATAGCTATTAACGTAATTATGGAAACAAGCGAATTATTTGTCAAATTCAGCCTCCGTTGACCGTCACCTTCCCGAATGTGTCTAACGGATGATCACGATGAAAATCTCGCGATAAAGGTCGCGGCAAAATTTCAGCCGATATTAATACGCGATGAAACGTGAGGCGAAAAATTGCGACGGAGAAAAAACGCGTCTTTACGCGGCGCGATGCAAAGCGAAAAAGCCGAGAGAGAGGAGCTGTACGTATCTCGTTCGCGCCCGCGTATCCCAGAAACAATATAGATTCTCCGACCGGAATCTATGCTGTTTCTGGAAAATTTGTCCCAAAATGGCGAGGTTATCCCACTGTGACATCAATCGGAAATCTCGTTCTCTCTTTATCCTAAACACGGGTTCTCTGTCTACGATCTATCGAAAATAAAAATAGCATGGAAACTCTTTTTTTTTTTTAATAAACGAAATATATAGTTTGTGAAATTACGATATTAATTTATTAATTAATAAGTAAAATCGCATTAATCGATAAGTGAAATCGGAATATTTTTTACGAAAATACGACATTAATTAATTTATGGAACAGAGGTATGTATTCTATTTTCATACCAACCGCAGAATTCAAAATATAATAAAAAATATAAAACATTTGACCATTTACATTTTTTAATATTTATTGTTTTCAAATATTTATAATTGTAAAGTGCAAATACTCAAAGTGTTTCATAAATGTTTCGTTGAATTCTAGCGAAAAACTGGAAACCAGAAAAATCTTTGGCAAAATGTTTGGCAGGTCGAATGGAATTCGTTTGGATTTCCCACTTAGAATCGCGTGTTTGGAACATTGCACTTATTAACCTGATTTTACGTAGACTTCCCGGCCGGAATCTGCAATTTTTTGGAAAAATCAGGCCGGATCTCAATATAGATCTCAATACAGATCCCAAGGAATTGCATCAGCGTTTCCATCGCCCATGAGATAATCCGGCTCGCGATCGCGGCTCTTACATTCTACGATTTCGCATGTTTCTCTCGACCGCACGTGATAAGGCTGTCTCGACGCGGTATTTGTGCTAATACAGCGAATACACCTATAATCGCGTGATTACACACTTATAAGCGAAAAGTGCTCGAGAAAAGCGTAACGAATAAGTGTAATACAAACCGGGTAGAATAACCGATGTAGAAGAGCGGAAATTGCGCGTGCGGCGGCGAGAATATTTCGCGAACGTAAAACGAGAAGGTGACTCGCGCGCGCTTGAAAAATACGATCGCGCGAATTACTTATTATTACGTCACAATCAACATATGGGCTACAATGTGCGCACACGTAAAGCAGCAGTATGTACCGCGCACCAGACACGAGAAAAGTGCAAAAGAGACCGCAACGTTTGCGTAAAGCGTGAGAAATAATCCGTGTCGAGAGAGAGAGAGAGAGACGTTTTCAACACGTAACATGAATGTTTACCTTATGTAGACGCGCACACGTAGAGGTGTGCTCCCTTAAATTACAGACTACTTAAATCCTCCTCGTTACATTTAAACACTAATAGTAGGCCTTGACGTTATTCTTCTTTTGGTATATAAAAAGGTCTGATATATTCGCGCTCTTTTGACGATTTTTAAAGCGACGAATTGAGGAAAAGAGAAGGAAATCACACGAATTCATTGGGTTGAACTTCAAATATATATATTAAATCACATCAAATTCGTCCGTATTAAGACTTGGCGTTAGAGGTATCAAAAATAAAAACGAATCATTTCCCATACGATACGATCGTAAAGTTATACTTATTATAAATCAACGGCTGCAGTCCGCGTTATTCAGTGAGCGATAACAAATCGAGGGAACGACTGAATATAAGTTATATTATAATACTTTGAAGTGCCGCCGATTTCAATGCTAATATGTATAAATAACTCGAATTCAATAGCCTCCGGTAATTTTATGTTAATTCTCCGAGTGAGCAACTATGGAAGCTTCAAACGCAAATTCGTATATATTGATTAAATTACCATTCATTATTTGGCGTCCGAACTAACCTAATCGACAACGATAACGATCTGAAGAAAAAAAGGCTATACATTACCTAATGCGAAATTGGCGGTCACGAAAACGCGTTACGAGAAATAACGAGTTCTTTTCGAACAATAAAACAACGGCAACGTTGAATCATCAGAAATGCAACAGAAGCAGTCTACGCGGGTATCCGCGTTACTTATTTGTGCTTTCATCGTTATAAACCGTTATCGTTATAAACTTATTTGTGCTTTCATTGTTATAAACCGAAGACAGTCTATCAGCGTAATACCATGTGCGTTTCTTAGATCAGATCTCTGTGTACGCAAAAGTCAATAAATGACAGCGAAGGCGGCACATGGTGCCTTATTTCGATCATTTTACTTCCCCGGGTTCGAATACGATTAATATAATTCATCTGTACATCAGGCACCAGCAGCTAGTGGACCTTCGTTTCGGTGGAATTAAAGATCCTTCGTTAACGTTAAAGCATCAAACCGTCAGACGAAATATTAACGATTAACTAATAGCATGTAATACATTCGTCGGTAAAAATCGCGACTATAATCAGACTATGATCAGAAATTATCTCATAATTTCACTCCGTTTTCTCTTTTTCTATCGTGTCTAACGATATTTTATAATCTAACGATCGCATCGACTTTGAATTCTTCTTTGTCTCCTCGCGATATACAGCTCCGTTACTTTGTGTTGTCGCGTAAAAAGTGAAATAATGCGTACAATATGCTATCCCGTCTCTATCGATTACGCAAAAACAATGTGTAATATAATATAATATTATATATATATATATATAATATATATTATATTATATATATATATATATCGCTTCCCCTAAGTATTTCTAGCGTAGAAAAACGGGAGGGTCCGAGTCACAAGAGGACACACATTTAATGTGCTCGATCATAGAAAATGTGATAAATCGTGTGTGGCGAGGGCACGTCCCGACTACGAGAGAACGGAAAAGCCCCGGACCGACGTGACGAAATAAATACGCTTAAAGCTATACAAACGGCTACGTGAAAAGTGAGCTCGATATATAAGGTGAGTTCTCGATATACGAAACCATTATAGTCATTTCATGACAAAGATCTCGCGGAGAAGTAAAAAACTCCTTTAATATATTATGCGTCGTCCAATAAAAAACGCTCAATTCCATATTATTTTTTTTTTCTTCGATGGTAGAAAATTGATGTGTACGCGCGGCTAGAGACGTGGTCTCGATTTATCACGCGAGAGGATGATGAACAGTCAATGTCTCCGATTCCTTTTTCCTTCTTTTCTCTTTTTTTTTCTATTCCTCCCCGACTACCGATTATCCAATTAATCCGGAGAGTCAGACTAAAGAGATAAATCTAATTTCGTTCTCGCGATTACACAGGTGTCGTAACTTTCTCGGTTCTCTCCTTTATTCTCTTCTTCGCATTGGCACGCCTTCTATGGTGTCTGCTGACCATAGATATTACGTTTCGCGGAATACAGGAAAAAATACTCCAGTAGCGGTATTCGTCGTGTTGCTACCGCAGTAATAAGAAACGGAAGATAAGAAACGGTCATAGATACCTATATATATCGGAGGAGAGGAGAACCGTTCATTCTCAAGGATCTCCCGAATTTTCAACGATGCGATAAGGACGTACTCTCAAGGAAGTAGCAGAGGCGTTGCGCGATTATGGCTCGGCGGCAACACGTCGCGTGATCTTTGGTTCTCGCGCGCGCGAGTTACACGTACGTGTCTTCCGTTCCTCCGCGAAATTTACAAAATGTTACACTTCCTCGAGCGCCGTCGCTTCCTTTGATTCTTCTCGAACTCGTTTGGCGGTTGGTTTCGGATAATGCGAACAACCTGGGAACAGACATCGCGAGAGCCTCAATGTCAATCGGACGACGGAAAGAACGCGCGGCGTGGATGATTAAGGGATTCATCGTTTGTCACTTCTCACCTCGTGAAACGCGGCGTCCACGTTCAGTGGTGGATCTTTGGCAGAGGTTTCGATATAAGATATGCCCAGACGATGAGCCAGTTCTCTCCCTTGTTCCTCTGTGACTTTCCTCAGGTGCACCAGATCGACCTTATTGGCGACCAGGAGCATAGGATACACGTCCCTGTCCTTCACTCGCAGGATTTGAGTATAAAAATTGACGATATTCTGATACGACTGTTTGTCGGTCACAGAGTATACCAAAAGGAATCCGTCGCCCTTCCGCATGTACTGCTCGCGCATGGCGCTAAATTCCTCTTGGCCGGCTGTATCCAATACTGTGGGAACACAATTACAGAGAAATAATAAGTACAAATTGAAGCGAGATACTGGTTGATGAGGATTTTTATTGTTCTTCAAATTTCTTGGAGTGAAACTGCTTGAAAAGCAGCGTAACAGCTGTGTTAATCGAATTTAAGTGACTTTTCTCCCACATAGATTTGATCTCTCCACTCTGAATCATCAAGTGAATATTTTTACTCAGAAGTGAAGGATGAATCTGATATATCTCACTGTTTCACAGGATAATGTTTAATTGAATGAGACGTTCACTTCTATAGATTGAGGGTCCATTCCAAGTTAAAGTCAAACATTTACTCTTCTGATGCTAAGCAATGATGTTTTCATCATCGCTTAAAGTGAATTTCCACTTGTCTGAGATTTTTCTCCAAGAAATTTGGAGAGTAAGCCAAAGAGGAAGTGGATTTACCATCCAAGATACACCACTGCTCGTCCACCTCTGTGTGTTGAATGTAACTATCTTCGATGGTTGGATCATAGTCTGCGACAAACAGCTTCTGAAAGAACTGTATAGTAAGGGCGCTCTTGCCGACCCCTCCATCTCCAACGACAACCAACTTAAAGGTCATAAGGTTGTCATTGTTGGGAGGACGTGTCATTCCGCTTCTGCGTCGCCTGCGTCGCTCGCTATTTTTCCTGCGTCTGCCTATCCTGCCAACTGTCTACTATATCCTTGGCAGTGTAACCGCTCCTGGGATGGCAAGTTGTTTCGTCAATACGACGAATATCCTACAACATTCGTACAAAATAACCTTTTTAGAACTTATGTGAACGTTCCATGGTGAAAATGCAACGAGAGCTGTCGATATATCGAGAGAAACGTATCATGTATTGTCTACATGAGAAGAATCGCGTACAAAATCAGGACGGAACGGCATCGTCAATTTAACGGGTGTGTCGAACGCGCGTGTGAGAGCACGGGAGCGAACCTCCCCACTATATTCGTCGAGATGCCCATCGTTCTACGATCATTCGTTCGCGACAACTGACGTGCAACTGTAATTTATTGTTCTACGCAAACGTGCAATATCTGCAACGATGAGATTCTCACCTTACATGATCCGCTACTCCTGCTTCTCGTGCTGGCAGCTTTCAGCCTGAGTACTGTGCGCAATATACACGCGAGTGCGCGTGTATATGTGTACGGACAGAGCGTCCGTGTGTGTACGTACGTGTATGCGCACGTATATTTTTGCAACTACACGCGTACAACGAACCATGCGCGCGTCAATGCAAAATAATCCGTATAATACGTTGCAACAAAGCGATACTGATATATTGCAGAAAAGAAATAAGATACGAAGGAGTGTGAAATGTTGAAAGATACTGTGTAACGAAATATATTTTAAATATCTATTTAAAATAATATAGTATGTGTGTAAAATTATTTACTCGACCAGTTGTTCGATATTATTATTGGAAATAAAAGTTCGTCCCTTCCGTCGTTGAGTCGTATCACTTGGAAAATGTGAAGACAGACACAATTTAACTACATACAGTTGCGACAGTGCTAGGAAATTGAGGGTTCGATTTTCGTCCGCGCATGCGTTGGCTGTACAACCAAGAATATGATAGACTGTCATAATATTAGGCTGCTATTTCACGTGTTATACTAATGTGATAGATGTACCGATTGGCTGTGCCTAATATTTTCTCTAGACTTTCCCTAGACATTCTCTATCTAGCAGCCAATCGGCATCCGACAATACTCTTACCACACATGAAGTACAACTTTAGGCTGGTATTACATGCCTCGTACGAGTTTGTCGGATGTGTCGATTAGCTATCAAATAGGGAATTTTTAAGATGTCTAGAGAAAAGATTAACCTCTCAAATTCTCTACTCCACAGCCAATCGGCACATCCGACAATACTCGTCGTACGATGCGTATAAACAAAGTTCACTAAATTTAAATTGGTTAACATTGCTCTAATTAGTCAAATTTCAATCCTAATCTATAATCTGATACAAATTTTACAGTATCAAAGAAACCTCAGCCTAAAAATTACTCTACACGTTAAGTAAAATTTCTGAACACACCACAAACCCGAATGAAAATCGAGCAAATAGTACAAATCAATAATTAGTCGGATAAACTTCAATTTCCACAGTACGAGTAATCGGTAAGGTAAAGACCGAAACGTTGTAAATTATTAATTACTAAGTAAAATTTCAACTTACATCTATACTTTATTATATTATAATGTCTTCCTCTTTTTTTTCTATCGGTAAGCAGTTTGTTTATACATCAAATATTCGTGATTATAATTTGTGAAGCATAATTTTCAGGTTATGTTTTATCAGGTTATTATTATGAACGTTTGCGATACATAGTCCCATATTAAATAAACAGTTTTATTTATTTTCAATTAGCGCAAAGATTAAATTAGTAAAGAGATAAGAAATAAAATATTTAATCAGATTGCAGGAAGCACTGTTCCTAGAATAAACTTTAGAAACTAAAGTTTCGCAAATATTTAAAAATGGATGCTGACCTGTATGATGAATTTGGGAATTATATTGGTCCCGACTTGGCGTCAGAGAGCGAGGACGAAAATGAATATGGCAACGTTGGCGACGATACCGAGGACAGAGAAAGGTCGGATGAAGAAATGGAAGAAGACAAAGATGAGTCTCGAGAGCACGCAGACCAAGGTTCTTCTATGGCAGTTGTGTTACACGAAGATAAACGATATTATCCCACTGCATTGGAGGTATATGGGCCCGAGGTAAGAAAATTATATCAATAAAGTTACATAATCGTCCTTCATTTTCTAGAACACATAAAGTTCACATAAAGTATATCCATAGAAGCAATTTTGTCATTTTAACAAACACAAATACTTTTAGGTAGAGACACTCGTGCAAGAGGAGGATGCTCAGCCTCTGGACAAACCATTGATAGCTCCTACTAGGAAGCCAAAGTTTCAAATCAAGCAGCAACAGCTCCCAGAAACGACATATAACATCGAATTCCTAGCAGACATGATGGACGCGCCGCATTTGATCAGAAACGTCGTCCTACTGGGGCATCTTCATCATGGCAAGACCACCTTGGTCGACTGTTTAGTGCGACAGACACATCCTTATCTGCACAGCGTAACCGAGGAGAAGCCACTGAGGTATCAATGGAAGCACATAACGATGTGACTTACAATTATCAAGTGAATCACATTGGAATCACAGACTAATCTGCAATTACATCGTCAGGTACACGGACACCTTGTTCACGGAGCAACAGAGAGGCGTCTCTACGAAAGCGACTCCCGTGACGCTGTTATTGCAAGACGTGAAATCCAAGTCGTACCTTCTGAACATATTCGACACACCAGGTCATGTGAACTTCTCCGACGAGGCGACGGCGGCGATCCGGCTGTCGGACGGCGCGATACTGATCGTCGACGCGGCGGAGGGCGTGATGCTCAACACCGAACGCCTTCTGAAGCACGCCCTTCAAGAGAGGCTCGCCCTGACGGTCTGCATCAACAAGATAGACCGCCTCGTGCTGGAGCTGAAGCTGCCGCCGTTGGACGCCTACTACAAACTGCGGCACATCATCGAGGAGATCAACGGACTGATATCGATGTACTCGGACAACGATAATCCCACCTTCGTGTCCCCGGCTGTGGGTAACGTGTGCTTCGCCAGCTCGGAGTACAACGTGTGCTTCACCCTGAAGTCGTTCGCCGCGCTCTATGCCAGAAGCCATCCCGGGTTAAACGCCAACGAGTTCGCCAAGCGGCTCTGGGGCGATATCTACTTCAATCCCAAGACGCGCAAGTTCACGAAGAAACCGCCGCACAACACAGCGCAGCGGAGCTTCATCGAGTTCATCCTGGAGCCGCTGTACAAGATATTCGCCCAGGTCGTCGGCGACGTAGACACGACCTTACCCGACGGTGAGCTCCTTTCTTCGCTTGTCCTTTCTCTCACTCGCCATTACTTGAAGCAATCGCAAGAAACACTTGCCAGTTATGTTCTATTACAGTTCTAGACGAGCTGGGTATACGCTTGACCTCCGAGGAGATGAAGATGAACATTCGACCGCTCCTGAGGCTCGTCTGCACGCGATTCCTCGGAGATATGTGCGGCCTGGTCGACATGTGCGTCACCCACGTGCCCAGTCCCCAAGCACACGCACCCACCAAAGTGCAGCACGTCTACACCGGCCCGATGGACTCGCTGCTCGCGCAGGACATGGTTAATTGCGACCCGGACGTGAGTACTTTGACTAGAAGGAACCGTCCGGTTTGACCATGGTGCAATCGATCACCCTCAATCACAGCCGGCTCTCATTTGGGGATTTTCTAATGTCAGCCAATCGGAACTCACCTGACTTGAGCCTCAGCCGTGATAACTGATTTGAACAATATAATCTCATCGATCATCGGTAATAATGATAAACTTCACGTACGCGACTAAAAGGTAACGAATAATTTTGCAGGGTAGATTAATGATTCACAGTACAAAGATGTATCCTACCGAGGATTGCACGCTGTTCGTGGTGCTCGGCCGGGTGATGTCCGGTACGCTGGAAGCAGGACAGCGGGTTCGCGTGCTGGGGGAGGCGTACTCGCGTACGGACGAAGAGGACTCGCGCGTCCTCACGGTGGGCAGGCTGTGGATCAGCGAGGCGCGTTACTCGATCGAGCTGAGCCGAGTGCCCGCTGGCAACTGGGTGCTGATCGAAGGTATCGACCGACCGATCGTAAAGACCAGCACGATCACGGACCTCGAGAACTCCGAGGAGCTGCACATCTTCCGGCCGCTCAAGTTCAACACGCAGAGCGTCATCAAGATCGCGGTCGAGCCGGTCAATCCGTCCGAGCTGCCGAAGATGTTGGACGGCCTGAGGAAGGTGAACAAGAGCTATCCTCTGTTGGGCACGCGCGTGGAGGAGAGCGGCGAGCACGTGGTGCTGGGAACCGGCGAGCTCTATTTGGACTGCGCGATGCACGACCTGCGTCGGATGTACTCGGAGATCGACATCAAAGTGGCCGACCCGGTGGTCGCGTTCGCGGAAACCGTGGTGGAAACGAGCTCGCTCAAATGCTTCGCCGAGACGCCGAACAAGCGGAACAAGCTGACGATGATAGCGGAGCCCTTGGAGAGGGGGCTCGCAGAGGACATAGAAGCCGAACATGTCCGCATCACGTGGAACAAGTAGGTGCTCCGGTCGTTCTCAGGCTTCTATCGGACTATGTATTAGAAGTTAGGATGGAATTGAAATTTCGTTAATAATCGATCAAGTTCGTTAAATCTCACGAAATTCTCAAGTTTAGTGAACTTCGATCTGTCCGGCCAGATTCAACTTCAATTCTAATCCAGAGTCTGATATGGGTTTTATGATCGCCGTTACCGCAGCGCACAACGTGATGGTTCAGGGTTGCGCAAACGGCTCGATTTCTTCCAGGAAGAGGCTCGGAGAGTTCTTCCAAACGAAGTACGACTGGGATTTATTGGCCGCCCGTAGTATATGGGCGTTCGGTCCAGATTCCACCGGTCCTAATATCTTAGTGGACGACACTCTGCCTTCTGAGGTGGACAAGTCTTTGTTAAACAGCGCACGTGATGCCATCATTCAGGGTTTCCAGTGGGGCACTCGCGAGGGGCCGTTGTGCGAGGAACCCATCCGGAATGTGAAATTCAAAATCCTCGATGCGGTCATCGCACAGGAGCCGTTACATCGCGGAGGTAATTATTTCATTACCCTGCTATCATGTACTGAGAAAAACCGCCCCAAAATTATGGTCATTTTCGGCCCCAACTATACTTTCTCCTGATATTAACTCTGATAATATTAGTGATAACAATATGCGTGTAATATTATCATTGACATCGTAACATTTACTAGAAAAATGGTTTTCCCGACTATAACTCTTTCTTTCATGCGATTATAATTATAAGTACCAAAAATGTTTCTTCAATATATAGTAAAAAGCACAAATGACATAAATAATACTGTAGATGTAAAGCAAGTGCGACGAGCCCGGAGAAAGGATCGCGATCGAAACACCAAAGTAGCCAGAGATTCTTGGCAAGGGGAATAACATCAATAAGTTCCAACATATCTTATACAGCTTTCGTAACGCATATTCTCAATCTCATTCTCAGGTGGTCAGATCATTCCTACTGCCCGGCGAGTAGCGTATTCCGCTTTCCTCATGGCCACACCCCGTTTAATGGAACCCTATCTATTCGTCGAGGTGCAAGCACCGGCGGACTGCGTGTCCGCTGTTTATACGGTCCTAGCGAAACGACGTGGCCATGTCACACAAGATGCACCGGTGCCAGGCAGTCCGTTGTACACGATCAAGGCGTTTATACCAGCGATTGATAGCTTCGGCTTTGAGACGGACCTGCGAACGCACACTCAGGGACAAGCGTTCTGCCTGTCAGTGTTTCACCATTGGCAGATCGTGCCCGGAGACCCTCTGGACAAGAGCATCACCATCAGACCGCTGGAACCTCAGCCGGCCACTCACCTGGCCAGAGAGTTTATGCTGAAGACGCGAAGGCGCAAAGGTCTGTCCGAGGACGTGTCTATTAACAAGTTCTTCGACGATCCTATGTTGCTGGAATTGGCCAGGCAGGACGTGCTCTTGAATTATCCCCTCTAATTTAAGAATTAATCTAGAGATTTTGTGTACGTGTAAGCTAATAATTAGTATATGTTAGTATATAAATTTTACGTATGATTCTGTACAAGTTTCACGTGTAAGATATATCATTAAGCATTAAATCTTTTTCTACCAAAAAATATCACGCGTCCCGCATAATTCCAAAACGTTGACTCCGCATTAATTCCTTATATTAACGAATTATCGAACACATGTAAAAGTTTTTAAAAGTTTTATATGATTATAATCATGTATGTGTGTGTAATTTGAAAATGTTTCTCAGGGAATATATGAAATTCGAGAATAACTTTCAAACAGAAAATTCCACAGTCTAATATTCAAAATACAGGGATTTCCTAATTAACACAATAATATAGCTAATATATATATATATATAATTTCCAAGTTACATAGCAGTAACTGACTGGGTTTCGGAAATCAACATTTGTGTTAATTATATATTAATTTATAATTAATATATTACCATCACATTTAGTTTTTCTACTTATTAACAAAATATAAAAATTTTCCATATTATTTAACGATCTTATAAACTGAATTGGATTAACGTGGAACTCTGATAATTGATGAAATAAAAAATATTCTGTCTCCTCTCTCTCTCTCTCTCTCTCTCTCTCTCTTATATACATATACATCTATTTCTAATTTATCTTTAAATATAATGAACCAATCAACAAAGTTCGATTCATTATTCTCTAATAAGAAATGTTCATTAATGTTTATCTTATTGACATTTTCACTCGAGAGAGAAAGTATATTATTTAATGTTATATTACAAAATTGATATATTTGCAACAAATATATAAAGATTCGCTTCTTTCGTTTAAATTCGGCCCAGCAATCAGAAGTGGGAAGCAATTTTTCCCCATGCGCTTACCCCTCCCTCCCTTTGTTGTTTCTCTCCACCGATACTCGCTTTATCATCCACACAAATCCAGCCTACAAACCAGAAGCGACCTTCCCCTCTTATTCCACGCACCCTTCCTCGCGGTTCCCTTCTCATTTTAATTCCCCTTTCTCCCCCTTCCCCCTCCTCCCAAACCGGATTTAGTACGGCCGCCAAATCCACCAATTACGCAAGCCACGATAAAGATCGGAGAAAGACAAAGGCGTCGTACGCATGGATTGAGAGGACGGCCATATGCAACCTCGTAAAACGGCAAGCGAACGACTTTCCCGACGAGATACGATAGTCTGCGACGTTTCGCATCGACATTCCGATGGATCCTTATCTCGCGTCTGGCGTTCGAATTCCACGAACGTAGTTTTGCTCTCATTGGTCGAATGCAGATTAAAGCAAAACCCAATACATGTCACAGTTAACAAGTTCTGTCCTTTTCAGACCTGTTTCTATAATCTTCAACAACAATGCTGCTATTGTTACTTTATCGTCGAGTAGCTTCTTCAACATATATCCATACCTACTCAAGAATAATGATAGGACAACGGCACACACAACACACACACAGACACGCTACGCACATACTGTCGTCGAAGATTAACGAACAGGCATGTAAAAGTCGAGCAGCGTCGAAAGGACTTCGTGGCAACGTACAACGAATTAGGTTATGTTAAGGTACTTGTTCCGCCTTAAAGACGATAAGTACAACCTGTAGCTCTATTCTGTAACTTCTTGATGACAATGTCATTGATCTAACCTAAGTTGTCGTTTCGTAGCTTTTCCGCCATATACCTGAGCAACGATGACGTAACGATAACGAAACTGTTAAAAGTTACAGAATGGGCCTATCATGCCTGTATTTACCATCATGGTAAATCTAATCGGCGATCAACTCAACGGAACCGATCAATGCATTAGTCAATTAACTGAACTGATTAATGTGACTAATCAACTTTGTTAAGTTAATCGTCGATTAGAAATTTAAATCATGACGGTAGAAACGAATATCAACTAAATTAAACAACTAAAAAAACAGACCTAACAATCTCGTCTCGGCAAGCCGTTCGATATCGATTCGAGTTCCACACCCTCGATGAGTCTCGCAATGAAACGTCCCATGGCCAATAAGAGCATTCGCTTTTTCAACAATTCCCACATTTCGCCATTGGTCCGCTATCGGACGCGGTCTGAAGTTGATCGCGATCCAAGTGTCGCGACCTTCCTTCCGCCGTGCGACTGTATCGCGGGAAGCGGGGAAGCTGCGGGGAAAAGAGAAACGCGATAGCGATGATTTTCTGAGACGACGGGCCGACGAACGTAGCGGAGCGCGCAGCCGCGTCTTTGCGCGCGCACCCGGCAGGCGGAGTCGCAGTTGCGCGTCGGCAGCGGGCGAAGACGGTGGCCAAGCCTCGGCGCCATTTTAACGGGCCGACCGTGCCTGCTCGTTCGTCCATAGGGCAGAATCGTGCACGCCCGTGGTCGCCGTGACGCGCGCGCGTTCCACTCCGCGTTTCGCTCCGCTCACTTCAGCTTCCAGAGGCGACGCTGTCGCGGCGGCGGCGGTGAAGTTGCCGATCGATCAACGTCTACGCTCGCTCGCTCCCTCTCTTTCTCTTTTACAGGTC